CCTTGAATATGCTCTAGCAATACTTTGATGTCATACACCGATCAGTCTACGCAGCGCTGCTTCAAGTCGAACACACCTATTGGGTTTGTGGTGGTGGCATTCAAGTTTTGCAATGGCCAGTACGATATCTAGAGGGTTGAGTGGCTGATGGGGTGGACTTGAAGCAGACCGATGAAGCAGACTTGAAGCAGACCGTATGACGAGAGTGACTTACCCCTTATTTACACTGCACGCGTCTGCGGCGCGTTACGACTCCGACGCGGCCACTCTAGACAATGCTTGTGTTTACACCAGCGGTGCAGCGGCACATTTCAGAAGCGTCCGAGAAGTGGCTCTCTGCGCCTCTTTGCTAAAGATATGCGCCTCACCTATTTTTGAAGGTAAGAGTGTGCCCTTGAATATGCTCTAGCAATACTTTGATGTCATACACCGATCAGTCTACGCAGCGCTGCTTCAAGTCGAACACACCTATTGGGTTTGTGGTGGTGGTGTTGTTGTGCGCACTAGGGAACGTATATCCGCCATACGTCATCGTGTCGCTATATCATTGATATTGCGATATGACACTTTGTTATCATGTGAAAATGTATACCGGTATTATTGTGGACGGTATGATATGGCACACCCCTAGTGGCTGATATGATATATTATGAATGAATAACTCAATTTAAATATGCCCAATGAGACAGACATAAAATCTATTCATTTAATAATTTCTTAATGCAATAAATAATCAAAATCATTTTTTTAAAAGGAGATTATTTTTTTAAGAATTTAAGACCAATTGTCTAACAATGCAAAGCTTATAAAGTCAGGCCTACACAACTGACAGTTTTGCATTGGAATGTGGAAACAATTGTGCATCGAAATATTTTGTAGGTTAAATACACTATAGATAAACACATTAGAATTCAAATCAAATGATCACACAATCCTGTTGCAATATTGAAAGACTTGCTGAATATTGCAATATTGAAAGTGTTGAGTAGCTGATATATAAAGCTGTATTATAAATCATTCAATTTAATGATGTCGAATGAAACAGACATAAAACTGGTTAAATTAATACACAATAATTATTTTATAGACTTTAGATTATTTTAGACTATTTAGTCAAATTTTAAAATCATTTAATAAAATAATTAACATTTTAAGATCAAATGTGTAATAATGCAAATACTATAAACTGACACAGGGAAGAGGTCACATTTCTATTTATCGGCCCACTTTGAGGTTTGTGGTTGACACTGATCTCAAAACAGCCAGATTTAGCTACTATTTGGCTGATATAACACACAGCATCCCAATTTGCCTGACTTATACTATGCTTTACTTTTGAACTTTTGAGTGTGTAGCAGACGAATGAGCAAGGTTTGGTAAATACTACCACATCACATCGTCTTTAATGAAAGCCGCTGTCACATCCAGTCACCACAAACTGGCCTGTCAATCATCTTGTCACAGTTAAAGTACACAGTTATTTTACATTTCAGTTTAGGCTAATTAAATCATGTGCCAATTATTATGATCAACACACCAGTTCAAATACCGAATAGCATGTATATTAAGAAACAGCATCAGTCCAGCATCAGTCTGGGGTTTTATGTTTTTAAGACTCTATAATGTTCACTCCATATTTTGCAAAACTGAGAATTTTGTCATAATTTACACTCTCAAGTTGCATCATGCAGTATAACTTTTCTTCAGTGGAACTCAAAAACATTAGGCAGAATGTTGTGACTGGCAGCTTTGGAGCCCATTTACTTTCATTGCATCTTCTTTCATACGACCACACTTAAAAAATGACTCCCATTCTAATATGAGTTTTTGTGTTCCACAGAAACATAACACGTGTTTGGAAAGACATGAGAGTGAGTGAATTATAACTTTTGGAGTGCTACAACAAGCTAAGCCACGGCCATTATTGTTTCAAATTTTGTGCTGATTCATTGTCCAATGTGAATCTGACAAACCCTGAATGCACTAAACTACAAGCCACTGTACTTCCAACTGGGGTTTTTTTAAGGTAAAATATTGCTTATTAAACGTACAATATCCTCTTGAACTTCTAACGTCATTAAAACTTTAGTACCAGAAAGACGTAACAATGCACTTCCCTCCTAATTCACTTATGTCATTGTTAATATTACGAACAGTGTTGTTCATCAAGTTCACAAACAAGTACCAACACGTTGCTGTCACCGGCTGGAAAGTGTTGCCAAAGAAAGTAAGAAATGCTTCACACTCTCAAATAAACGGCGTATCTCTGTGACATTTCTAGAGAAAACCAGCATTAAATACCTTTGTCATCTGGGTTTAAGGTTATTCGGCCAGTGTCAGAGTAACTTCGAGTGAATTTCTCCTCACATTTCTAGTGCATGTGTCACACTGACAGACGTTAGCTTAGCCACTATGCTCTAACCGTGCCGTGTCACTGCTAAAAACACAACCGACACTCTGTAAAACAGCTTCAAACTTACTTTCACAACAGGGTACGTTGCTGTCAGATTGAATAAAGCATTTATAAGCGTTAAAAAAAATCATTTGGATGTTTGTCTCGGGTGAATTACCGCCACCAGCATTAGCCTAGCGCGCTAACTCAAACTAGCTCAAAGTTCTGTCAACTTTTCCTCAGCTCTTTCTGTTGTAGCCTCATAAAACACAGCATATTTATCGGATACACAGTTCCTAGTCGACTCAAAATGTCCTTGTTGCGTGGCAGTAAAACGGAAAAGTGGCACGATAATCTGTTTCGAAGTTGACCGGAGGGAATGAAGCTAAACTCTTACCAGGAAGTGCCAGCTGGGCTTCACGCGTACTGAACTGGAGCTCGCGCCGAGGATGAGGAGGAGGAGGAGGAGGAGGAGGATGATGGTCTCTCAGTCTGTCAAGGTCGAGCTCCTGTTGAGTTCCTGCGCGACGCTGCAACACACACGCGAGCTGTTCAATCGCGCCTACAGAGAGTGTGTGTGTGTGTGTGAGTGTGTGTGAGTGTGAGTTACACACACATCCCAGCATGCTCGCTTGAGAGGGGCGGAAGACTTCACACAGGCCAGTAACGTTAACTTTAACATTCACAGAGAAAAGAGCAAGGAAATACGGAAGGATGCTATTCGATTCTATTTTATCTCCCTTCACACTCCTCTAATCTGTTTTATTCTCCAAGTTTTCGATGCTCTTCTGCTCCGTTCTATTAGATATTTATACTAGAAAACAAGACAAAAATACTAAGTAAGAAAATAATTTTTTGCAGCATTGGATGGAGTGGTGTAAAGCACACCACCACTGGACTCTGGAGCAGTGGAAATGTTTTCTGTGATGAATCATGCCTCTCTGTTTTTCAGTCTGATGGGTAAATCTGGTTTTGGCGGATGCCAGGAGAACATGCCTGACTGAGTTGTTTTTCAGGGATTAGTCTAGGCCCCTTATTATCAGTGAAAGGAAATCTTAAAGGGATATTTCACCCAAAAATTTAAATTACCCCAAGATTTACTCACACTCAATCCATCCTATGTCTTTCTTCTGTCAGATGAATACAATCGGAGTTATATTAAAAAATGTTGTGGCTCTTCCAAGCGTTATAATGGCAGTGAATGGGGGTTGAGATTCTGAAGCACAAAAAAGTGCATCCATCCATTATAAAAAGTGTTCCACATAGCTCCAGAGGGTTAATAAAGCTTCTGAAAGCGAAGCAATGCGTTTTAGTAAGAAAAATATCCATATTTAAAATTGTATAAACCATAATTTCTGCTAACTGTTGTACGCGCATTCACAAAAAAGGAGCGTTCCAGCGGATGACGTAGGAAGTAGGCGTAGCATAAGCTCTGGTGAGAAGTGATCAATGTGGAAGCGCAGAGGAGACAGCAAAACAAAACACTGCTCACGAATTAGATGTACAAAACGAGGATTTGTAAAGAAAAATGTCAGAGGATTTCAATAAAAGCCAAGAAGAGACTGGATTTCCTTTGCTGTAAACAAAACTTGATTCTCACGAGACTAGCATATTCTCACATATTCTCCCTTTTATGCTTCAGCATACCAAGACATTTTGGACAATTCTATGCTTCCAACCTTGTGGGAACAGTTTGAGGAAGGTCCTTTTCTATTCCAGCATGAAAGCAAGGTCTATAAAGACATGGTTGGGTGAGTTGGATGAGAGCTTGACTGGCCCACACAGAACCCTGACCTTATCCCCACTGAACACGTTTGGGATGAACTGCAATGGAGATTTCAAGCCAGGGCTTCTCGTCCAGCATCAGTGCCTGACCTCACAAATGCTCTACTGAAATAATGGCCAAAAATTCTCACAGAAATTTTGTGGAAAGCCTTCCCAGAAGAGTGCAAGCTATTATAGCTGCAAAGGGGGACCAACTCCATTATAAAGGTCACATATTTTACACCTTTCTGGAGTTTTATTTTAGGTTTTGATGTCCTTAAGAATATATATTTGCGGTATAAGTACCAAAAACCATCTCAATATATTTTTAAAGCTCCTCTCTCAGGAGCTCTGCTGAGAACAGGTCGATTTTGGCATGTCTAATTAATATTCATGAGCCTCTCTTCTGATTGGCCTGTTGTGTTCTGAGTGATGCACGGCCAGGCCAACCACAGGTAACTAGGGTCAGTCGACGTCACAGCGCTAGCTGGAGGCAGCAAAACAAAGGGGAAACTGGAGGCGGCCCATTCAAACCAGTGCAGATTCGGCTACATAAGGAGCTTAAAATATCATCTTGCTGTGATGTTGGGTGCCAGAATCGACGTAATACAGCCTCAAATTAGAAATTTGATCGGATATCTGCTGCCACTGCCAGACAAAAAAACGACGACAGCTGTGGTTAAACGCGATAAAACGAGCAGACTGAACAGAAACAATCATCAAAAATGTTTGCAGCACACACTTCTTATCAGAAAAGGTTCAATAAAATATTGTATTTTGTTGTTATGTGCGCGTCTACAGATTTCTTGCCATATGTCTATGTTTCTTGCATCTCATTACTATGTCGTGCATGAAATAATGTCTGTGTGCATGTGTGTGAAACAACAAACTGACGATTCATATATAATCATTTGAAATTGTATAGATGTGATCCACCTCATAGTAACAATCCTGTCAGATCGTCCATCCTTTGAGTGAGAGTGTAACGTTACAGGTCGGCCGATCTGGTTTCGTGGTTAAAGTTAACCTTTTCCACATGTTTACGTGTTGTTGTTGCTCAGCAATGGCATGGACGCGATGTTGTCTGGGGGTTTGGAGAGTGGGACGGTGGGCGGTGCTCGGGGTGGTGACTGAAGGCAGTGACTGTGTAGTTCTAACGTCAACTTTTTACAGAAGTCACAACGGTTCGTGAAAAATCACAGCTTCTTTATGCAGGCTGTGTGCATTTTACTGTGAACTGACTAATTTGAAACTTATATGATAGTTAAATAGCCCCTAGACCTCAGTTATCGTGAAAAAAGCCAGGAAATTTCAGTTTTGACAATATGGGACCTTTAATGTCTGTGTATTTCGAAATGCAATCATTAAAGTCCCTGTAATGATCAGGTTTCCCAATACTTTCATCCATATAGTGTGTTTATATATGTGTGTATATAAAATCATTTATTTTTTTGCTTTATTTTATAAATGTCACCTGCTGTTTTCCCCATAGTCATTAATGCCTAATATTCTCATCTAAACAGGAAAACTTATGAACAAACAACATAAACCTCACATTTGTTGTGATTTCCTTAATCGTGTGCAACAGCACAGTTCACCCTTATTTATCCACCGAATTTCCTTGATTTTGATTTTGATATGCCTGTACTACCTGTGACTGCAAATACAAAGATTGTTAGTGAAGCATGCTAGACAACATAAAGGCACATTAATCATATCAGCATATCTAGTAAACAGTATATAAACTTGGTTAGGGTCAAATTAATTTCAAAAGATTGTTTACACCTCACCTCACAGATTTTATCCATATAAACAATATTATGTATTGTCAGCAGTAAAATTGCCAAAATACACTCCGATGATACTATAGTATTACATTCAATCAGAGCATTTGAGGGGAGCATTTTTTCTGTTTCCGTATAAGGAAAGTAACAATGTTTTCTCCTGCATTTTGACAGTTGATAATCAACAAGTGTTGTGCACTGCTTTTCTTTCTTTTTTTTCTGTCTTGACACTTCAAGAGCAGTTCTGCTAACCTCCTCACAAATACCATATAAGAAAGGTAAAGCACACACTGTGTGTTTTCCCCCCTTCTTGAACAAGCGTTGAAGATTAAAAGAAACGTCTGCGGAAAATCTGTCAATTCTGTTGGCGAATAACGGCAAGCTGGAATTTAATGGCATGAGTTATATTGGGCTCCCTCAACACCCACATTTTGAGATCAATGCTGCTTCATGACAGATAGGGACTGTCTTTAGTATCTTCAAATTTCTGGTTTCTGAGGGAATAATTAGATAGATGGATAAGAGGCAGCTCTTGTGACTGCACACGGGAGCTCTGGTTCAACACCACAGTCTGTTGTCTTGAAATCTGTGTAATAATCAGATTGTGTCGATTGTTCTAAAAGTAGAATGGCGGCGGTTCCGTAATATTAACTTCTTTTTCCTTTTTTTTTTTTTTAGATATTTGTTTTGCCAAAATCCTTGTTTGATTTGGTATTTTTCTGGAATGTAGATGAGCTTCCTCATGTCTTTTTTCGGGTCTTATTTGTCTTTACCCCTAGACAATGAACTTTTTTGGCAGTGCACGATAGGGTAGAAAAAGAAACAGCCAGCTTGATTTGCTTTATTAATGCAGCTGTCGATAAAAAAAGTTATTCAAATCAAGTCTTCACATTTACGTGTATGTATGTAAACACGCACACACAGTTACATTCATATTTATACATATTTCAGCATTGACTACAAGCTTTAAAATAAATGGTAAGTTGTTAGAAATATGCAGCTGTTAAAGCACTAATACTAATAACATTAATGATTTAATAATGTCTTTTGATTAACTGATTAATAGGTGATCAAAATTATGATCAGAATTGACTGTAATTTAGGATATACTGTATATGATAATTATCATATTATGTTTGTTTTTTTGAGAAACCAGGCTTGTCGGTTAATTATAGCATTTTGGGCAATTTTATGAGTCTGCACATGTACAGTACAGTTAAACAGAGAAAATGTAAAACATAACAACAAAAGAGCCTATTAAAAGGCCAAATACTAAACAAAAAAGAGCAAACAAGGCAATACAAATATTCAGTTTCAATCATAGTTTTAAAAGACCTTTCAAAGCTTGTTTGTAATAGTGTTCATTGACAAAAAAAAGAGGAAGACCTTAAGGTGCTGTTTATATATGATTTGATAGGCTATTCAAAAATAACTTTCCCTGGTATAACGTAATATAGCTAGGTTTATTTTCAGAAGAAAAATGCAATTATATATTTACAATTATATATGTGAATGTAGAACTAAAACTGTACATTTTAATAAATTTTTAACTGTAACCTGACAAAACAAATCTGTCTAGCTATAGAAAATTTGATAGATAGATATATAGATAGATGAGTGTGTGCACCTGTATAAATGTGCATTTACATGTGCCTTTTTTCACCTACTTACCCGACCTGCATGTAAGTCACTGACCTCTGACCTTTATGTTCACAAATCTCTGATGTGTTTTCTGCATCTGCTGCTGCTGCTGCTAAGGGTCACAGAGTCTATCTGTGTGTGTGTGTGTGTGTGTGTGTGTGTGTGTGTGTGTGTGTGTGTGTGTGTGTGTGTGTGTGTGTGTGCATGTTCACTGCAGACCGCTACATGAGCATGTACTTTTGACAGAGTAGGAGGCAGTATGCATACTTTCCGGGGATAAAAGGTGCTGGTGTGGAACTGCCACTGTCTGGAAACACACACACACACACACACACACACAGCACCAGGCTGACTGTACTCATCATCTGACACCGGGCTTCTTGCTTTCTCGTCTCAGCAGTGTATGTGCAATGTACCTGTCTGTGTGTGTGTGTGTGTGTGTGTGTGTGTGTGTGTCGCTCAGGCTCACTCTACCGTGTCAGTCACACGAGCACCTGAGTCCACATCACACACATCAGCTGTTTACACACCATCCTGTGTTCTGAACCACAGATATTCACTAGAGAGACACCATTGAGATTCCCCAGAGAAACATTCATTGCTCAGAGGTTTCTCTTTCATGGCTCAGGAGAATTAATGGAGTCACGTTTCACTTAAGCATCAACTTTGACTCTGATGTTTTGCCTAAAATTACTTAGAAGAAACGAATACACAATAAGAATATAGTAGACGTACAATAAGAATATAGAGGCATAAAGTGAATGTGAATAGCATCACTTGTGTAAAAAGAAGTGTGCTTAATTGCATTGAATATGCACTTGTAGTGTAAATCTTACCGGTATATTTTAAAAACTTGTACAAAAAATATAATAGTGAAATAAAACTCGAATAGAGTTCACTTTCATGTTTAACACTTAAGTACACTTCTAAGAAGTGCACTTTGTAATAATGTCAAATTAAATGTTTTAAAATACAATTTAAATTATGTTTTAATAATCTTGTCTTGTCTTGTCATGCTTTAAAGAAGTGCACTTATTTTGATGAGTTGACTAACATACTAAAAGTACGCTACATGCAAAGTACTTGATTATAACTTTAACTGTAGTGTGATATGATAATAAATTTAATGTATTTTAAATGTACTAAATTGCAACTTCATTCAAATATATTTAAATACAAGTGTCAACAGAAGTATATTTTACCATAAATGCTTGTAATATACATGGCAGTACATTCAGCAGTATTTAACCATATTTCAGTGACCACAGAAGTAATGAAATTACAACTTAAGGTAAAAAAGCACTAATTGCTTTCAATATGAATGTAAACTATAATACATTTTCATATAATTGACAATAACATGCAATTAAGTGTCAGAAAATATTACATTCAGTTCACACTTAAGTATATTCTTAAATTGTATTATTTCCATAAGTGTCCATATACTTCTTAACAAGGGATAGCATCACATTAGTGTCACTTTAGCATGCATTCATGGAAGAATTTGATAAATATTTCAGCTCAAATTGAGTCTGACTTTTAATTGCAGATTTTGAAAAATCTTTATAAATTTATAAGACTTTATAAATTTTTGTACATCTGTGAGCATAAACGTCCTTCTTTTGTGACCCACAGAAGAAAAGAAGATTAGAAACAACACAAGGGTGATTAAATGAAGACAGAATTTTCATTTTTGGGTGACATGTATCTTTAATAGTATGGTTGATTTTTCGTAATAAGTTGTAGTGTATGTATATAAAAAAAAGAAAAAGTTTTTACAACATAAAACCAGTAATCAAGCTTGCTCATGGAAACATAATAATCACAAACCTTCTTGATTCCTCATGCAGTTTGGCTCCTCGTGTATGTGTGTGTGATTTTCTTATAATAACAGTTTGCAGAGGAGGATGACGTCCATCTTCCTGTTTGCTTCTGGTTATGGTGACCGTCCACTCCAAGTGTGTAACAAATCCTCCAGCGTGACTCATCAGTGCCTCTTTTTGAACTCTCAAGGTCCCTTGCTTTCCAAAGAATTCCCTGTGGTCACGGGTGTTAAGAGCCTCTTGTTTGCTGACTTAGCCCAAAGGACAACCGACTACTGAATGTGACGTACTGTATAAACGTGAGGAATTTTATATTTTTTAAACGACTATACTGCATAATAACCATTAAAAGCGTATAAAATCTGAAATGCGCCTTCTGTTGGTGTGACCTAGAGCATTTAGGTTGATTGAGTCACATTATGTGACTTAGATGTTACCACATGAAGCACATTTGATCTTGCCTGACTAAACGTTTTTATGAAAGAAGCACAAAAATTGTCCACAGACTGACAGGAATTACGTTTTTGTGGTCATCCAGCATGGATGGAGCTGGAAGGTTCAGTGACATGTTTGGCATAGCAGGAATTCAACACTTTACTGTTTACTAGGCCCCCATGTGGCCCAATGCTTCTCCCCCCACCCCCCACCACACTTAACAGAGTAACACAAGCTTTGTTTTAAAGCTTTCTTTTTGGATACAATAAGGAAAAATTTAACATAGTATTTTAAAACATTTACCACTACATCAACCTTAAAATAAAAAATGAGGGAAGATTTCCCTCCTTTTTTTAACCACAATGCAAGAATGTGTTACTAGGAAAATCAGGGAACCCAACATATTTTTTTTCTAAGATAACCAGTTTTTATTGTCAAATCAAGCATGCTTTTATGTTTTTTTTAACTGTTAAGATTTTGGATTCACAAGGAAAATTCCCTTAAAGTTTATAGAATACAACAGACAACAAATAAAACAACTATATAAAATAATATCCATCTGAAATTGGCGTCCACAACTTGAAGTGCAAAGTTTTTTTTGTTTTTTTTAACTTGTTTTCATTTTAAATACAGCCATAAGGTGTTCCACTCCAGCTTCTCTTGGTCGGACATTTTGCTGCCAAGTTTTAGGAAGGCTGTGCGTTCATGATAAGTGACATTTGTTGCACAGGAATATTTTACAGCAAGCAGAATTACAAGGTAGAGTGTGTGTGTGTGTGTGTGTGTGTGTGTGTGTGTGTGTAGACATGCATGCGTGCGTAGATCCCATCTCCTGCAGTCGCCTCTTGGAGCAAGGTTGCTCTGTTATGTATCTACAATACTGTACAGTTTATTTTTCTTTGCCTTTCTGCCTCATTTCGGTGGTAAGAAAAATATCCCGTTTGGTGTGGATTCTCTTACAAAGATGGTTTTTAAACATTCAGGACAACAATTTGTTTGGAAGGAAAAGAGAAAGAAATTTTGGAATACATTTTTGGTAGATTTTTTTTTTTAAATCACTCTTTTTAAATTCTGATCCTAATATTGTCTTTGTCTTCAATGGTGAAGAATTCCGATCAAAGCTTCTTTTAATACTTTAGGGAATTTTCAAACGCCGTGAAGTTTGGCTGTAATGCCCCAAGATTTGTTCTCCCTGAAAAAAAATCATAAAGTAACAATATATTAAACTACAGAGCAACCTTGCTTTGAGAGGTTTATGTTTACTAGTTGTTCTAGCATTCCTGTGCTTGGTATTTCTGTATAAAGTAGTCATGTTCATGCATTAAAAAGCATTTTTTTTCTTGACTACAGGGCTTTGGTTCAAATCCATGGGGCATTACTTTAACAACAGAAACAGAATCAAGTCTGAAATCGATGTCAGAATGAAAGCTAGACAAGGTTCGATCTGTCATGTCGTGTTGTTTTTGGTGTGAGCAGAAGTTTAAATCTGAAAGCAAAAATGGTTTGTGTAATGAAAAATAAAACGCTGGTAAAGCAAAGTAGTTTTATTCACACAAATTTAATAAGATATAACAACTGTTTGGTCCATAAATATTTAAGGGGAAATAGTTTCTATACACCATCTTTTTTCAAGAAACAAGGAAACATGGACAATCTTGATAGAACACGTACTGTACTATTAACACGAAGATCAATATATATGATTCTCGGATTTACCAACTAGTTCTGAAAGAGTGCACAACTGCCTTCTAATGACATCGCCACCCCCTTGTAACAGAATACACCATTAAAAAGATCTTCAGAAAAAATCAGATGAAAAACAGAACAGTACAAAACTAGTGAGGCGTTCCAAGGATGGAAATCATTTAACAAACAAACATGTATCTCCTGAATTTCACAAACTCTCGTCCAAGTCGCATAAGGCACATAGTAGAACTGAGTTAAGCATCTACTTCATGAAGTAGATCTAGTGTACCACTTTGTTCTACAGCAGAACAAATTTGTCATCACACAAGGAAATGTTTCACCCTAGCGAGGAGCCCCAACCGATCTCCAACCGTGCCGTAAATGGGTTTTTTTCTCTTTTTTTTTGGTCTGTTTGGTGGCAAAAGAGGGGGGGAAACAGAACAAAACAGGGTGATGTGTGTCGCTCCTAATTAACTTCCTGCTTAGCATTCACAAATCACTCATAACGCTTCCTACTGGGCACCATATTGTCACTGAGCGCTGGATATCTTCATTCAGAACAGTTGTTTCACTAGTTGAGGCCCGACGAACGATCCAGGCCAACTTGTGATCGGATTCGCACCACATCGTGGCAAATTTACTGTTTCAAATTGTCATTAGAGTCCAGAATCGGTGACAAAACGGACCTAAATTGAGGTTACAGCATCCACTTGGCATTTAAGGACATAATATAATAATTTTTTGTTGCTTGAACATATTTTTGGAAATGTCATCAAATATATTTAGACTTCACTACCAAAATATGCAGTAAACATAGCATGTGCTGTATGCTGACACACTTTGTTTTAATAAACGTGGCGGGTTGAAATTGCAACTATATAAATAAAGTGATCACAAAAACAAATTAACTGACAAGTACTACAAACTCAGCTGCCACGCAGTTGCAAATGCTACACATAGTAGGTCTCGTCTTACATTTCCAAAGGTCTTTCTGTGGTCGCCGAAGGGTTTTTTGTTGTGGAAAATAAAAATTGAATCTAAAAATAAAGGGGCTAAAGACAAAAAAAAAAAAAGCAAATCCGTGTTAGAAAAGGTTTGTCAAGGTAGTTTGTGGGGGGCTCCCGGATTCGTGGCTGTCCAAACTAGAGGTCACTGATGTTACTACGGTGATAGAGGGATTGGTCAGGTCAGTTAGTGTGGTGGCTGTGCTGGGTGGGGTCAGAGCACCACTGTCGGACGAGGGCGGCGGAAGTGACGTGCCGTCAGCCTTATCAACACCCCCATTCTCCTGCCGCAAAACGTTCCTTCTGAATTTGGCCCGTGCGTTTTGGAACCAAACCTGCAAACCAATCCCAGTGTCTTTACTCTTTTTGTGCTTGGCTTCGAATTATTGTTATATTTTTGCCTACTTGTAAGTCATATCATTTAACATCACAAACTTAATCACTACTAAACAATGCCAAAGTTAATCGAAAGCCTCAACTTTTACTTGGGATTCTACTGGAAAACATGGACCATGTTCCAAATTAACTTTTCAAGCTTCCCCAATGGATTTTTATTGTATTTATTTATTTATTTAGTTTTGGGTGCACAAGTATTGGCCCTTGAATTATTGCCCCTCTATTTAGTCAAATTTGTGTAACTACATGACCGAACACAACAAAAAATAAAATAATGGATGGATTGAAACGGAAAGCAAGATGATGAGAAGGTGTTGGTGTAGATGTGGAATGGAGTCTACTGTGTGGTGACGCTTACCTGAAGAACTCTTTTGGTCAGTCCTGTCTTTTGGGCAAGCTGTTTTAAGTCCTTGGCATCAGGGTTGTGGTTTATGGCGAAGTAGGACTTCATGGTGCGAAG